GTGAATATTACGCTTCAAATTGGTAGCGCATCGATAGCGCATGCGTTGCAGTCTCAGTTTCCATGGAGATGTCAAAATAAACCAATCAGCGATTTTTGGTAGCGCCTGCGTTGCAGATGGACTGCAGTCTCAGAATGAAAACAAAATGGCTGACAGACGGCGGCAAAAAGTTGTCTCATTTCAAATGGTTCTAATGTAGCTAAAATGCTCTAAAGAGCTGAAAATCTTACAAAATCAACTGATTACCATCCAAAGGACATGGATTGAGGTATATAATTCAAGATTAGCGGATGATTCGTGCAGAAATGACTGGGCATTTTCCAACCTCGTCCCCAGGGCCATCTCGGCCGACTCCTTTTYAAGATGGCGGTCGTCGGGGAGATGACCCTGGCGTTGGCTGGAATCACGTGATCAAAACCTCCAAGATTTTTGGAGGTTTTGATCACGTGGCTTATCTATTCAAAATGGCGCTCGAAACGTGAACTCAACGGTTTCACAAACTGGGATAGCTGATTTATTTGAAAAATGTCCTTCCGTCCTGCCGTCATCGGCAGTGTTGACCCCTAGACCGCCTACGGGAGTAGATCCAGTTCATTCTAGAATTCTTGAGGGATCCGCTCACTGCAGAAATCGGCGAGTAGAAGACTTCTATAACATCGAATGCTATCGCTAAATATATCCGTCAAGTTAAATTTCTTACACGAGTGTTGGCATCTCAAAACCACGCATTGGACAAGAGAGACATAATGATAAGAGGACAACTGACAAGAATTCCAAAGAATAATGTTGCTTTTTAATCGATAAAACGTACCTTGATTAAATTTCGGGAATATTTGAATAAAAACAATGAACGAATCGTAACTAAAACGGTTAAATCAATAACCGATCAAAGACCTAACGGTTATCCGGACATACCGACAGTGTCGAACACATCCCGACCTATAGACGAACATAAACAGCCAATAATGAGTGATATAAGAAAAGGCATTTTGAATAGCCAATCAGAAAGCGGCTTAGTTCAGCGAACGCCAGGGTCATCTCCCCGACGACCGCCATCTTGAAAAGGAGTCGGCCGAGATGGCGCTGGGGACGAGGTTGGGCATTTTCTACCGCCGACTCGAAGAGCACTACTTCTTCGACACACAAGTGTTCGATGTCAAACACAAAATCTTCAAAAATAAGAAATCACATGGATATTTAAGGTTCATACTTTGACAGAAAACAATCATTCGATGGAAGAAAGCATATCAAATCTCATCTGAAAAATATTGATGCCATTTTCTAAACTAACGATGTGTTTGAAGTTCGGAAAACTGCACGTGTGAGCTTTACTGAACTCTGTATACAAAATATATATTGTGTATGAAGCATTTTAATTCTCTATTGTTTGTTTTGATGATTGTTTAACTTGAAAAACTTAGACAAATCCAAAAATATGAACTGTCATTAGAAGGCTAAGGTACATCTTTATGATGGCACAGAACGCCAGATTTACAAATTAATGATAAACACAAAATAAAAAAGAACAGAAACACAAGATACAGATACATGATTAAAATGATCAAAATATTATTCAAAGTTATACTGCCAAGACTGTACCGTTTCTATTGTTTATGTGACCTATATGACCTATCAGATATTTTGAATAATATAGACGCTCTTGAGCGTAAAGTCGAGCTAGTTATTTTGGAAAACTGAGAAAAAAGACATGGTATCCAAAGAATTTACTTAGAGTTCAGTTCGGTAAAAAATTATGATGTAATAAATTGATAACATATTAACTTAATTCTGTCTTGACTTATTACAAACAAAGACTATCTTGTGAAAATGAAACACCATTGTCACAGGAAGCCCACGTAAGCGATCCATGATCGTCTAGTT